CTACTTGAATTCTCCGTATATGTGAAGAATCTAAGCAGCTTCAGTCTTTGGTGCTTGTTTGAAACGAAATATGACATTACCAAATTTTCATGAGTTGCTTAGTTTTTTAAATACAGTGATTTTGGATATTATCCTATGAAATGTCGGAAAAACGAAACGCGCATCCCATATAGATTTTGCGTAGAATTTAGTGGCGTAGTCACTTTTTTCATGTAAATGGTTTCGTCTTTAAAAAAAAATATATAATGGAACACATCTTATAGGTCAGTTTGATTCCGCTCGGTATGAACTTCTGAAAAATGTATAATAGTATGGGATTATTTGTATAAATGACCTCACAAAAATGATTTTTTAAAATTTTCATGAAGTTATTTGCGGTACGGTAGACCTTGGAAAAAGGATTTGACAATACTTACACAATAATGTAATTTGCATGAAGCCAACTTATATTAATATTTTGTGGGAGTACCAAAAACTAGGATACAAAAACATTAATGGATCATAAATTTAAGCTTTATAAGATCAACGTAGTGCATCATTTACAAACTAGCGATCCAGATAGGCGACTAGTATATTGCAATTTGTTTTTGAAGAAAATTAGGCGAGACCATCATTTTGCTAAAAAAGGTAACTTGGTACCAATATATAAAATTTGAGATAGAACAAGGACGTTTTGGTTTCAGCGTGACCTGTTTCATCTAAAATCGTATATCGTATTTTTGAAGGTGTTTTGACTACCGGGTGGTATATGAAAACATTGCGAGATATTATATCAGGATTATTAGATAATGTGCAGTTGGCGCAGGTAAATTCCATATTTTTTCAACAAGATGGGACACCCGCCTATAATTCTAGAGAAATAAATCCTTTTTGAGAGGAAGAATTTGACAGATACTTCAATAGGTACTAATGGTAACAGGTGGCCTGCGAGGTCTCCCAATTTTTTTTAGATTTTTTTTGTGGCCACATTTAAAAATTAAAATAAATGCCAATCACCACAATAATATCGGAGAGCTCCGAGCAGCCCCTGATGCAACTTATGAAAGTTTGCGGATGCAACGTCTTGTTACTCGGAAAGCTTTGGACAGAATTGACACTGTACCTAAGTTGTAGGTTAGAGATAGTCGTGGACATTTTGAACAGTTGTTTTTTTAGCATTCCCTATCTTATTAAATAATTGTTTTAACGTCTAGATTCTCGTTTTGGTTTATCTCTTTTATTAATATATAGGTCACAAGCCAATGTGAAATGTTACAAATAAAATGTTAATATTAACCTAAGTTGGCGTCATGCAAATTATAAAAGTTATTGTGGAAGTATTGTCCGGAATAAATAAGGTAATTGTTTTAGATATTTAACAAATCCAAGGAATACCGCAAATACTAACCAAAACTAACAATATAGATATAAATAAAATACCTTTTAAAAAATCATTTACACAAATAACCCCATACAGTTATACATTTTTGAGAAGTTCATACCGAGGGGAATAAAATTGACCTATAAAATAAAATGCCATAAAAAGAAAACCATTTAGAAAAAAAAGGACCACGCCACTACATTCTTCGTAAAAATCTATATCGGATGCATTTTTCATCTTTCCGGCATTTCATACGATACCCGAGATACGAGGGGTGCCCGAAAACTTGAAATTTCCAAAATCACCCTGTATTTTAAAATCCTAGCAAGTCGTGAAAATGTTGTGAACGTCATCTTTCGTTTCACAAAAAAGTATCAAAGTGCTGGGACAAGACTCCATCTTGACTAACAACGGACAGACCCCTCAGTCGCTACGAAAATGGGACACAGTGTATAAGCATTTTTTAAGTCTCATTTCCATTTTAATTGCTTTGTTGAACGACCTGATAAGCTTTAATGATCTCAGCTGTTGTGGGTATTTAGCATATACTTTGATATCATCCATGTAGACTGCGTGGGACAATTTGGTATTTTCAAGAGCGTATGCATGGCCATTCTATTTTAATAAATTACTTAAGGGGTTAAGCGCTAGACAGAACCACATTGGACTTGGACACTGTCGGCTTGGAAAATCCTCTATTGATTTTAATCTCATCTGTTCTGTATTTATTGTTATTAATATTATTATTATCATTAATAGCACGCAAAAACATAAAAACTGTAACACCGCATAACACTCCACTCGAGCGAACTTCTCTGCAGTCTGTGGAACCTGGCAATGTCTATTTATTTTTATTTATTTAATCGCAGGATAAAATCAGCAAGCGGTGTAGCTATGGGTAGCGTCGCATTTCGACGCAAAACTTTGTATTATGAACGTTTCCCTTATCGCATGTTCCCACATTGTGTAGCTTTTTAAAATGTCACGAAATGGGATAAGCGAAACGGCAACGAATGGCTATACGATATGCACGGGCACGATAACTGTGGTCAACGAACCACGAAAATTTGTAACATCACCACTCGTAAGTTGGTAACGTTCGCGAAACATTCAATTTTGTTCTAAAAGGCCTTAATAAATAATTTTTACATCATTTACAACGTTCGGCAATAAATTATATAGGATGTTCGAAACATTTTAATGGTTATTTTAGAGATAAAAAGAAGTAGAGGCTGTATACCAGATGTTTTTATGTCTTTATTTTAGAAGATAGCAAAAATCTGTAAATACATTCTCATTGACACTTTTTAGGCTTCATTTTATGACTAGGTAAAAAATCCCCTACAACGTTTTGTTTTTCTCAAACCATAATCAACATTATTTTTTCCTATCGTCGTTATATTAGATTTTTGCAGTCTAGAATAGCCCGTATACCTTTTTAATAATGTTGATTTTGTGTTCCTTCAAATTCGAAATATTGAACAAAAATTTTATACAATAGTCACCTATGAATTTTCAAATCTGTCGATGACATTTGAATATCTAGTGCATTACTGTGCCGTTAAAAAAGGAATTTACCAATCAAGAAAAACGAAATATGGTAAAACTTTATTGTAAAAACGATAAAAAGGATGTCAAGACATCGGAAATGTATTTGAACGTGTATCCTGAAAGATGACAACCTATTCGAATTTTGTTTAAATTATTGGATGGATAGAAATCTCGCTGAGTTTGCTTCGTTTCAAAAACTAAGTTAAAACTGTGAATGTACAATTAAAAAGAAACTTCAGGACATTTTGAAAAAGATAACAATAATAATGGCTATACGTAAAGATAAATTAACACTTCTCTCCATGTTATGCACTGCGAGATGTATTTCCCGTCTGCGTAATCTCCCAACCTCTGTAATGATGTTGATTTGGAGATCTTCAACATTTTGGTATTCACCCTGCCCATGCATTCTATTTTTAAGTGTATCCCATAAAAATGTGTCGAGAACTCTGAGATCTGGAGACCTGGCTGGCCATCTCACTGGTCAATTATTCCCAATCCATCTGTCACCGAAATTTGTCGAAAGATAATCAGTTACCTGTATTGTATTGAGACGGGGCGTCATCGTGCTGACACCACATGCTGTTGTAGTGTATCAAAGGTAAATCATCCAAATAGTCCAATTTTAATAACAGTCAAAAAAGAAACAAATCAACACGTTTTATACACGGGACTGAATTAAACTGCTCTATCCATTTTTCGTAACTCAAATAACTAACCAAAACTCCAAAACCAAACCAAAAATCACTTGACCAGTTTATTAGAAATTTTTTGTCTCCTGCAATGTTTTCATCAAATCTGCAGTTTAGAAATAAAAAAATAAAATGTAAAGCATTGCATATTTATTAATTTATTAATTTATTAATAAACATTTCCGAAACTAAATTACAAGCTTAAATTACGAATAAATACCCTCTTTAAAATAATTTTGTAACTCAAATAAAAAAACAAAAAATAAGCAAGACACCTAAGGCAAATAATTTTAGGTGGTTATATATCTGTTTAAATTGAAAGCGCTAAGTAATTTGCAAGAAAATCCGCATTTATAACAGCATATTTGTAGCACGATATTTATTTATTGACAATTTTGGTACCACACAGCACAAAATACCACAACGGGGATGGTGATGGTATCTTACAAAGATAGATTCACAAGTAAATGTAAAGTTCGGCAATTATCAGCACACAATTAATAGCATCATGAAAAGTAACACAAAAAGACTATCACAGGTTTATATTTGAATTAGGCTGTCCTAACCTTTAATAGGAGGAACAAAAATATCGACATCAAGAAATTAATTTAATTTTTGATTAGAGTTAAACTTAATAGATCGTTTAAATGTTTGAATTTTAGTTAAGCTTTGAAGAAGCCAAGAGGGCGATTGGCGAAACGTCAGCAACTATAATTTATAAACAACCGGCGCAAGAAGAATCCAGAAGATTTGTAAATAGTATTATAGTAGCTTGTAGAAGTTTCTTTTAAAAAATAAATAAATAAATTTTGATCGAATATGGTTGTCATCATGATTTTGAATATTCGTCATAGTTTTGTATGCAAGATATGGCAGGCGTTATTATTATTAATATTAGGATTCCAAATGACTGAAGCGAACGAAAGTTTACTGTGAACAAGCGCATAGTACAGCGCAAGAAAGAATTTGGGGTTGTTAAAATCTATTGAGTTTCTTTTTATTTCTATTTTTTGTTATTCTTTTTATCTCCCTAATGGTTGGCTCTTGACTGAGCGTTTATATAATGTTGATGTTCTAGACATATTTTAACCGCGATGTAAAAGTGAAGAACACACATATTCTACACGATAGTAATTGTTAAATTCGGTTATAACCAAATTTGTTGGAAACTCTAACGGATGCTGCTTTTAGCATTACGTTATTTATGAAAATTAAGCTTAGCACATGGATATCAGTTTTAGTTTTTAAAAGGGGAGTTTCCCTTTAAAAGGTGACCACCCTGTACATCTTCAATTTTTTATTGAAATTTATTAAAAACTCATTGAACTGAAATTAGTGAACTACCAGACACGAAAGAGAGATCGAGAAACAATCGATACCGAATCTAAAGCACTTACCTCTTGCGGACAATTTTTTCGTATTTATAATTTTGGCGGCAAATTCCAAACCAGTCGATTTTTGCACGCATCTTCTAACTACCGAGAATGCACCTCTGCAAAAGAAAATATAAAAATATTAATTACAAGGCGATAACTTGTTTCCAAAATATCAATCACTATCGCCTACAAGGACAACCAAATTATATACCGATAAAATGAATGTTACCAGGCTACAGACCAGTGGAAAATTTGTAAATTCAGGAACCAATGATAGAAAGGTCTCTCGCTATCACCACAAAGTTTCGAAAGAAACTTTTGCGTATTTTCTGTGCACTTTTGACACTTTCATTCAAGATAAAGATAGAAAAATGAGGATTCCGCAATTATGAGAACTTCTTTGTGAATCGAAACTTGCCACAGGTGCCACTATTAATTGTTACTTATACAATTTTTTTAATGCGAGGCTCGCATGTAGCAAGAGCTGCCGAATCCATGTGCTGTGATTGTAAACTACCAAGGCAACCTTCAACTAGCCAGACACTGGCATATGTCTAGCCCTGCTCAATGTATAATTAAAAATTGTATTTTCTTCGCAATCAACTATCTCAACTGTTTCAAATGCATTTGATTAAATAAACCATGAAATTCTCCATCGAACAGCTTATCGCGAGCATTAAATATTCTGAGTTTTGACATGAGTATATATGAATAGCTAGTAGCAAGTGAAATTCTGAACAGCTTTTATTTAAGGTACCCTACATCTAAAACAAAGTGTTTCCGGGATATTTGACGTTTTCTGCAAAAAACGTTAGTTAGGCTCTTTCCAGTTTATTATAATTTCAGTTCGTAAAAACAGTACAGTATCCAACATATAATCTTCTTCTGCCACTCGTTTATTAAGCTCAAACAATTAACTTAAAATGTCATCATCACTGTAACACTGTGGTAATTATAATTTATTATTCGTAATATCGCTCCAAATGAGTATTGTATATTATATATAATTATATTAATAACTTAACGTTTATACTCGAATAAGTGAAAGTGATTGAAATTCTAACATTAAGCTATGACATTAATAACAATATCAGAGAACCTGGGAAATTCAGGTGAAATTGCTTTCATTAAACTTGTGGCATAACATACTATCAAAAACATATAATCATACCAACAACTTATCCTTTATACTCAAATGACTCAAAGTGATTTTGGGTTGGTCATAGAATTTACGATAATAAGCTGATAAACTTTGACCAAATTGTTGAGGATCAAACTTGTTGCATAATATACTATCAAAAACATATAATCATATCGACAACTTATCTTTATACTGAAATAAGTTAAAGTGATTGATAGTATAAATTATTGGATTTAAGATTTCTCCAAAAATTCTAACATTAGGCTATAACACATATAACTACTAGGCATATAGAAGCTCAGCCAATGCTAATAGTACAGGAACTCGTGAAGCAACTATGTCACAAAATTTCTGTTCAATATGCGCATGAGCGAGATTTGAAATATCGTTTTTAACCAATGACAGTTCTCATTACAAATTCTGACGTTCGACCTATAAGGCCTTGCGGCTTCCAACAACCAACATTTCCGCTGGCAGGTCGTCAATGTTTGGATGCTGCATTTTTACGGCGGTATTTTCTCAAAATATGTCGAAATCCCATTAAATTTTCAGGCAAAAAAGACAATAAGGTGTGGAAAGCGGTGTTAAAATAATGAGCGACAAGTACAGAGTTAATATTATGCTGAATTACAGCACACGGATCGGCATCCTTAGTATAAATCTTTTAAGTATTTTAGCATTTTGGTTAGTAATACCAAATAAATTTTTCCGAATTTGTGCCCATAAATGGGCACAAACAGTTCGTTTTTATAAATATATTGGTTTAACCTCTATTGAAAATGTAAATAAAAGTGTAAATATAACATCTAAGTGAAAAAAATATTCAACAAGCATCTCGCATAGACCGAACGCTCATTCTTTCATCGCAACTCTAGTAATTGCAGAAAGTTTCGCCACCCAAATATATAATTATGAAAAGTACCAATGCACAATTTCGTTAAAAATCTGTAAGTATCAAAAATGTCAAGCAATGTCAATAGACAATTAGTTCTAAATGCTGGAGAATTAATATTAACAAACGCTAAAAAGTGTCGTTAATTGTTATTATTTAAAATACATTTTGCTAGCAAAAATTGCATATTTAACAGCAATTGTTATCTGCTAAAAATAGGTGTAGACATTGCATTGTGCCTACCGGGGTTTACATACTAGCATCAATTAACGCAATAATTTAGCTATATTTTGTTTCAATCTGGATTCACAATGAAGATAACTAAAAGTTACTTTTCCAGAAATGCTTGGGATGTTTTAAAAGGTAAGCTCACATTAAACATTCTATAAGGAAGATGTCCTATTAAGATTTATTTTTTTCCAGATGCACACTGCAGACTGGTTTTGTAGACAAGATTGTGGTTTATGCCACAACTACGACTTACCTTTAATTATAATAGCATTTTATATAGTGTTTTACTAACTCGATTTGAAGTTCATAGAAGATATAGTGGCACGTTAGAGAACGAACACAATGTAAAAATATAAATGAATAATTACATGAATTATTTAATAAAGCCTTTGTTGAAAAGTATAAAATACATTGTTGCTTATAAACGGAACAAGAAATCAAATTAAAATATATGCTGCATTTTTTAATAGCATAATATTTATTTTTTATTTGCGCAATGGCGTCCCACATAAGGTGCTTCAGTGTTACTCTTTTCAAAGAACTTTTATATTAGATGATTTGAGAGAACGCCATCTTAAAAATTCCAAAAAAGAAAATGAAAGCAATAAAAAAAATGTTCATTTATAATATATTAAACTATTGTTAATTATTAGTAGAAAAAACTAAAGCAAAAATTTTATTAACTGTAAATTCGAAACAAAATTTAAATCAAAAGCACTTTACTTGTTGACAATAAATTCACAAAGTTTGTGTAGAATTTTTAAAACTATGAAAATTTTGAAGGAAAAATATCAATATTTTAGACGGCAAAAAAGTTGCTGACATATTACCAACAAAATAATATTTTTAAGGAATGTGGAATTTGATAAATTTTATTAGTCGGGTCAGATATACATCAGAAATGAAACAGTTAAATAAGTAAAAAAAAAAAGAAAAAAAAGGTACCATTTGGCACTCTAAATATGGGGTAAGTAAGTAACGCGATTTACAACTATAGCATAAAGAAGTGATGTGGAATGTTATACATTGGTTCCTTAAAATTTCATGTTATGGTAAAGTAAAAAATAAAGTGTAAATTGAATGACACTACCTGAATAAGTAATTATTATATCAAAACTAGGAAACAGACATGTATGCAAGTCTACAAAAAAAATGGGATGGAGAACATGGATCAGTCCCATAACTTGTCCAAACACGTGTTGTACTAAATAGTTATTCACACAAGGCAGGTAGGTGATACTTACGAGTCAAGGACATAGCTTACTTTCGAGCCAAGCAAGGGTTGGGAAAATAGTTGAAGACTAATCAAGATATCTTCTTCCAAAGTTGTGCATACAATATTTTTCCTACTCAAGTTGTCCCGAATCCAACAAGCGGATTTACAAAATCAGTATTTATTGATGGAACTGTTTCTATTTAATTAGTGTCAAATTGTATGTATACGTACTGGAGTATTCACTTAAAGTCTGTTCATAGATATAAGAAAGTGACTAACTGATACGAATTAAAGAAAGACGCGGGCAAGCTCTAAGAATGAAATATAGCCGAACAGGTCCGTACTTTGATACTAAACAATATTTATTTATTTATGTAAATATTTATGTTTAAATCTAAAATAAAATTACAAATTATTTTTATTACCTACTTAAATTACTTAAAATTATTCACATAATATCGTCGCCTGTTCTAATTATTTGCAATATGGATAAACGATTTTCCTGCTTTTCCTATATGTTTAACAGAATTTGCCCAACTTTGTGGAGGGATATTAAACCCTTGGGTTTCTATAAGTTTGAGGACATTGGAGTTAACACGGGGAAAAACATTGTTACGACGAATGGCAAATTTCAGTTGGTGCCAAACATGATCAATGGGATTAAATATACAGGCCTTAAAACTGTATGTATTCCTTTTGTAGGTTCAAGCTTTGTAGAACCTCAATTAATTGCTTTTTGGTATAATCTTCGTGAAAATAAATGTCGTTATTATACATGTAGTTTTGGATTGTTGCTTTTTGTCACATGAGGAAGGGGTTTTAGTCAACTGACTACTGTGATAACTTGCATTGTCCATTACAATGACGCTGTTAGGAGGAATGTTTAGAACTAGTTTGTTTTTAAACCCACTTTCAAATAAAACAGCGGTGGTGTCTTCATGGTAATCCAGAGAAGAATCTTTAATATTTTTCGCAGACAGAGAAAGTCCATTTGGAATCCAACCATCTTTAGAGTTAGCATGCAAAATAGTTATCCTTTTACCTCTTTTTGATGGCGCGTTTGTTTTACACTTATCAGTTGAGTCAACCCAACTCTTTTCCGGGGTATCATAAGTGTCGAACCAGGTTTTATCCAAGTAAATAATTGACCTTTGTTGTTCTCTGTAAATCTTAATCTTTTCTAGATATTCCAGTCGCCATTTTCGAATTCTAAAAGATTCCATTAAAACTTGCCTTTTGTCTAAAACCCATGTATTGAATACACTTCCATAAGGTATTTCTGTCACATTTAACACCGGTGTCATCTTTTTCAAGCCTCCTAATTAAGATATCTAATGTAGGCACGCTTTGTTCTTCGTATCACTGGTAAATTTGAAGCCGTATTATATCTTGATCACTTTCATCTACACTCGAGACAATGTCAGCATCGCTTCTTTTTTTCCTCCCTGAAATGGGATTATTCACAATTTTCCATACAGTTGATGTTGGAATTTTCGTCAATATGACCGTTTCTTCTAAAGATGCTTGCTTGCTGGCACCACGTTCAATGAGAGTCAAATAAACATTGTTTGTAACTTCCTTAGTCTTAATAGAATAGTGTTTTCTACATTTGGGCGGGAGCATCTCCTGAGATACA